CTTCTCTTGGCAAAAGGCAAGCAGAATTGGTAGATACAAAAGCAACATGTAACGTGGTGAAAGGATGGATCTCCCTGTGTGTTAGAACTTCACAGCCATCACTTTGCCAAGAACATTTTCACCACCATGGCATCCACAGGTGATACCTGTGGGCAAAGACAAAAGAAGAGACGCTGCTGTGACAGTGCTACCTTATATTCTATGAAATTTACAGTAATGAAAAAATACATGTATATCACAGAGAGCAAACGAAGCAGGGGCAGTGCTGAAGTTCTCATGCTGCTGGCTGGGGCAAGGGGGTTGCAGGTGCAAGTTACTGTGCTGAAATCTTGCTGATTTTCAGAAACAGAGGAAAATCCTTCTCAGACAGAATGCGTGCAAGATTTATTCCCCACGTTTCCAGACAAATACTAACCTAACAGCTGGCAGAAAAAAGAAACCGTATCACCTGAGTGCATCCAGCAAGCTACTGGAACAAAAACATACCCTTCTGTGACAGCCTGAGCTGGCCCCTGCAGAGAGCAGGAAACAAGCAAAAATGTGAAGCAGCCTCTGCTCCAACAGCCAGGTTTGCATGCGTGTCGAGCCACTGCTGTTGGCTTTGCTGGCTCACTCCAGCTCTCACGCTCCACCCTTTGAGGTTGTTTCGTTTCTGTTTGTTTTTTTTTTCCCCAGCATTTGCAATCTGATAGAGGCGGGTGAAAGTAAGTTCAGGGAAAAGACGATCCCCTGAAGAGCAGCTGGAGAGCAGTCCTAGCCCAGCCTGTGCTAGGTAGAGGACAGCCAGCCACGCCACTTGCTTTAGCCTAGAACCATCCCCCCCAAATCCTGGAGGTATCCTGGTGCTTGAACTGATTTTGCAGGTAAGCCTTTCTTTTAACCCCCAGGTCTTGGTAGCTGAGCGTTGTCTAACCAGGAAGTTAAGTCTGGCTGGAGATAAAACACAGCGGAAATGGCGTAAGAGCAGAGCAGGGAGAGCTCAGCTGCTCGGTGTCGTAGATACACTGCTTTATTTACTCAGTTGTTTGCCTGAAGCAAGTCGGGCATTTGTGCCATCTGCCTTATTTCAGTTAAAACAGCCTTATAAACACCCGTAAGAGACGGACAGACAGACAGACAAAACCCACACCACCGTTTTCCCTGTAAGTAAAAGTTGCTTACACATGTTCTGCCTGCTGTGGTAAAGGGAAAGGAGGGGAGAAAGAAAGGGAAAACCAGCTCCTTGCTGGTGATGCTGGTTTAAAATTCACACGGCAAAAACTAAGCTTGTGCCAAGTTTTCAGAAGTGAATAGAGTTGTAGTTCCAGGGCTTTGGGGAAAATCTTGGGAGTGGCCATGATGCAACAGTTGAGTTCTTCTGTAAGGTTTCTACCTTAAAGGTTAGGACATGTGGGGAGCCGAAGCAAGGCACCCTCTGCTGCTACCAGGATATTGCTCCAAATGGGAATTTTTCATTTTCATTGCTTTCTTTATGTCCTGAAAGTATCTTTCCAAAATTCCCACACAATTTTGGCTTTGCTATTTTTCATCGGATCGAGAATATAATCCTGTTGGAACTGTTGGAGTTTATCTTACAATTTTACTTTGAGAGTTGTACACGGGAACTTGAGAACATTTTGGGACCTCTTGGGCCAGCAAACTGAACAACATCGCTCCACACTTACGGATGCCTGCATTTTAGCAGTGCCTGGGGGGGAATAACAAAAGTTCTTGGCTCCATCAAAAGCCCATTCCTTCCATCAAGGACTGGGAGGGCTTGAGCTGCTTTCCACCCCTATATTTGTGAAACAGCCTCACACTGAGTCCTCTGCCATCCCAGAGCAATGCCTGCTCCCCTGCCCATGGCCAGACACCCACTGCTGGGATGACCGCATATAGAAGGAGCACATGCATCTCAAAAAAATGCCAGAAAATCCCAGACTCCCCTGAAACTTATAGTTTTGGCCCAAACCTTGGATTCCTCCTGCTGCTGGCACTGGAACCTTTTGCACTTCAGGTCACATCTGCTACTGCAGGCACAGAGAGCAGGAGCAGGTGAGACCAGCTGGTGCCAGGCTGCCTAAATAATGAAGAAATACCACAGCGGGACAGATTTGTGTCATATTTGGTTGCAGAGGAGGCTCTGGATTGCTCTGCAAGAGTGGGAGGGTATGTTTTCTGCTTCGATGAGTCAAAGCATGAGCAAAGCAGTTCAGACCTGGAGAGTCTCAGTTCCTATCATTTCTAGCAGGGAAACATCTCTGCTACTGCTTTTGTTCCTTCCTACAGAGATTT